TTTTATAATTAATGATTAATTAACTATCATTAATCAAAACTAACTTGTACTTTTAACATTACAATCACTTATTGTTTTGTATCATATGATGTTAATATAGTATATTAACATGTCATAATAGATGATGATATGATATATTTAATATTACATAATAACATGATCATAAGATATTTTTCATCCTCTACGTGAGTATCACATTTAACCAATTATAGTCAATCAAAAATTAATTATAAAAATTTATATGATTTAAAATAAATACATAAAAATTTAATTAAACATAATAAAATAATAAAAATTTATTTAAATTTTTTCAAATAAAAAATTTATCATTATCTCTTGAAAAAAATTACTTTTATATAATCTTCCCCCTAAAAAAACTATTTTATGCAAATTAATCTTAGACTCAAGGACTAGAAAATGGGCTCGAAACTTTGATTTTTAAAATGCAATGACCCTAAAAGAATTACTTTTATATAATCTTTCCCCTAAAATAACTATTTTATGCAAATTAATATGAGACTCAAGGACCAGAAAATGGGCTTGAAACTTTGATTTTTAAAATCCAATGGGCTTTTAAATCCTTGAAGAAATATTAATGATTCAATCTTCAAATAGCCTACTTTTTGGGTCACCCATTTCATGTGATCAACTCCAAAGAATGGCCACATAAACTTGCCCCCCCCTCACCCACCAACAATGACATGTAAATTTTGTGTTTTTTTAATATTTAGCATTTAACATTTATTTTTTAATAAATGCAAAGAAACTTGAAAAAAAAAATTTCTTTCCCTTTTTTGTTCTTTGGGGAAATTTTTTTTGATTGTGGGGCAATATTTTTGGGATTTTTTTTTTCTGTGTATTATGTATTAAATTATATGCATAGGCATATGGGTTATGTACATGCTGTGTGGTATAATTGGGAGACCAATGAATATGGCAGACAAATGGTTACACACATAAAGCAAAACAAGAATGGATTTTTTTGTTCTAGGTGGCCTATATGAGTATTAAAATAATATATATGTAATAATCATTTCCTTCCGTAATCAAATTTTACATTTAAAAATTTCGGCTTCAATTTTGAGAATCCAAATTTTGTAACTACAACTCATTCTACAAAATTTTACTTTTTTTCTAATATTTTCACATGATAAATATTAACATAAGACTAGTGTATAGTTATATATATATATATATATATACACGTATTATGAGTGTTCTTTTTTAACTTAAAAAATATATTTATTAAATTTAATAAATTTTATTTATAAACTTAAAATTTATCTGATTTTTTATTAATGTAAGATAGAGACACCCGCGCATGCACGCACGCACGCACAAAAAAGAGAACTCATAAACAATGTCATTTCATATGTAGTTCTTGACGCCTAAAAGTGTTGGTGCCTTGAGTTTCAGGGAAAATCAGAGAAACAAGAAAAGGAAAAGTTGGGGAGAAGAAGAAACGCACTAAAGCCATGGAAAAAACCTTAGGCAGATTCCACAACAACAGCTGCCAACAAAGAAAAAGTGAAATGAAAAGGAAAACATCAGCAAAGGCCAAACAGTGGGGGGCAAAAAAGAAAAGAGAAAAAAGATATGCTTTAAAGTATATGCTGAGAAGATCCTCTCCCCACCCGCATTTACTCCATTGAAAAAGTAAACCGCTGCTCACCCATGAGAGGCCTCTCTGGGGAAACTGTTCTCTTCCATATTTTTGAATCCCCCCCATCCCCTAGCTTTGGCTTTGCCTTCTGCTAGCTTTTTCTTCCTCTTCTGCTTTCTCCAATGGAGGCAAATGGTGATGAGGGTGGAAGCATGCAGCTGCAGCAGTGACAAGGGACAATATATTGAAGGGGAAATTATGGAGGAGGGATTGATTCTTCTTCGAGGTTAAGTCATGATGGTTTCATTTGTTTCACCATTAGGGCAACCATGAACCTTTGGCAAATATTAGGTTAATGAAGTGTTTTAGAATTTATTGTATGGTTTGTAATATTAATTATTATGTTTAAGCCCTCTTATTAATGTAAGGATCTTTCTTTCAGCTTTCTCAGTAGGTTCTCTTTATAATATATATATGTATATATTTTATTTCCTGTTTGATTACTTGGAATTAAGACATCCTTAATCATCGAGATAATGCTAATTACCATTTAAATAAAGAAAATTAAGTGCTTCTGATGTTACATTTAACCTCAACAGCTTCATACCGTATACACCCAACAGTTGATGGGCAATTCCGTTCTTGGGGAAATCCTTGGACTGAGACAAATTCAGTTGTGTAATTTGGCATTTCCATGGTTATTAATCAGCAAACTTTAACTCTGATTTTTGTGAACAATTCTATCTTTAGTCATAAAGGAAAATAAACACTTAAACGTTTTATTTTTTTGAAATACTCATATACGAATATGAAAATTTAAGTCACTCAAATTCAAATAATATCGTTATATGCAACTTTTCATTAGAAATAAAAATGAAACCACTGAGCTAATCCTATAATAATCACCTCCATGAGGAGAAATTTAACAAACTCAAGCCTAGGTGTTGGTTAATGAGCTTATTTAATTAACCCAAAGTTTTGTTTTGACAAATCAAATGCAATAAAATCATAATGTGATGTTAATCTGATGTTTTGATAATAGTAAAAACATTTATAAGTTGACCGCAAATCATGTACCTTGGCCTGCATGCAGCTCATTGATTCTTTAAGTAAAAACATCACCAAATATATATTTACAATTATTCTAACTTTATGGATTGCATCTAGATTAAAAGAAAATTTACTGATATAGATTTTGACTTGGCAAGATGTAATATAAAAACCCATTATTTATTCTAACAATCACTTATTGGAGATTTATTCACTCTTATTCTTTCATTTGACCTCGCCATAAACCATAGGAAAAACATTATGTAAGGCCCAACATACTAGAGAGATTACAAGACCTAACTGAAAATCTTCGTTGACTTTGAAATTTTGCCAGTTATGTTAAATCTTATCCAATAACACCTATATCCTTTCTCTTATTATAAAAAGTAATTATATATATAATAATTATAAAAGTAATTATATTATAAAGGTAATTAAAAAGTAATTATAAAAATAATTATATTATATATCTTAAATTATATATATAATAATATAAAAATTAAAAATTAACGATACTTGCAATATCGACCATGCATGAATATATGCGAGCTTTTACATCTTATCTCCATATAACTTCCCTCTTATGCTTTGATTCTATTCTTCCAATACATCCAAAAACTTAAAGTTATGAAAACTCTTTTTCTTTTTTTCTTTTTAAAAAAACTAATTTCAATTTTTTTTAATATATAATTTTGGGCTACTGTTACATAATAAGAAATAAATCTCTTCCATTAGATTTCCAAACAATTTTTTTATATTTTTTTGTTTATATATAAACAACAAATCAACCGAGTCTATGCTATAAGAGATGTTACAATAGATTAAATTAACCTAATTATTTGACCATTAATTAAATATAGATGGTTGTAAATTAAATTGATGAAAAATCCCCAACTATCCTAGGGATTCCACTTGTCAACAAATTAGAATTTAGGACTAATGTCGCTTAAACTCAAGACAAGTTGACTTCTATCCAACAATTATAAGGTAACAACACCTTTTTCTAAGGGCAAAACGGATTTGAACTTGTTATTTAAATTAAAAGACACGTAAACTTATCATTGAATCAAATTTTAAAATAAAACCTAATAATAATTTTAAAATTATGATTTAGGATCATTAAAAAAATCGACATTGTGATTTAGGTAGGTTTCATGATGAATATACAAAAATAAATGTAGATACATATAGGAGACAAATAGAAACTTGCTAGTTGACTTCAAGTCTTACTTGGTCAAATGTTTTATACTATTTGAATAAACTATATATTATATAAAAAATTTTGACAATATTATGTAAATCCCTTTCAAAACCCCTTCTAGAAACTGAGATGACCATTTGTATCTAATTAATTTATGGGCTTTAGACAACCCCAAGGGTCCACATAGGGAAGACAAAAAGAAGGGTATGACCCATAATTTTTAATTTATTTTTCATTAGTTACAAAATCATAATTCACTGAGTTTGAGTTCAACTCGGTGTCAATTTTCTTACTTACCCCAAAATTAAAAAAAAAAAATTACCCTTTTTCCATATTTGGGTATAAAGTATTAAGTCTCAAAGTGAGCATGAAATTCAATCAATGTCCCTAATTTAAGCAAAAGGGTGTATGATATATTAAATATAAGATGAATTATGCTGTCCAAAAGAGCAATACATGCACATGATTCCACCATTTTAAGCAAATGATAGGGATGGGGAACTAAGTTAACCAGTTTGCTTGATGGCTTGACTCAATTCCTTCCTTATGTTCCTTTTGAAATGCCCTTTTAAACAACAACTTTTGTCTTGCATTATTAATTTCTTACCAAAATATACATATCTCAACAACTTGAATATGGTATCATACTATTTTTTAATTCGAACGAAGAAGCAATCCAACTCGATCATTATTGAATGAACTACTATTTAATTTTTTTCCGATTACCCATTTTAAAAATTTATTTTATTAAACTATAAAGTAAATATTACAGCTAGTTTTGGTTATAACTACTGCACTATTGAAAGCATGCATATGACTATATGAGTCAGAGCTTATTCCACAACTAGCCATGACTATTCAACTGAGTTTGTATCTGAGTTGATTTCAACAAGGTTTAAGTTTGGACTAAACAATTGTTTCAATAATTTAATTGATGATTATAATAATTAATCGATTTCCCATTAATCGAATCAAGTCAAAATTTTAACTTGAAAGCGAAATTAAACTGATAATTTGCCAGCAAAGAACCGCCCTCCTACTTATATATGTACAAAGGTTCTTTGATATGTCACCTTATAGACGTTTCATATTATTTTTCCATGCAATAAATAACCTGTGACCCCATTTCTCTCCTTGAAAGGAAAAGAACTGTTCCTACACTCAAAAGAAAGCCCTTGAGAAAATCTTGCTATATAGCTTTGAATTTAATCGCTTCCTTCATTTGCTACAAACCAAAGAGTTTAACCCTTCCTTCATTTGCTCTCCACAGGGTCTTTAGCATCAGGCTCGGATCAGAGGTGAGAGACTAGTCTATCTCTATCTTCTGTAGTTAAGCATAGATCATTTTGTCATGAGTTTTGAGCACGATGCTTGCTCTTTTGGCCTGCTTTCATTTCTGAACTCTGCTATGAATAGGCTTTTGGACTCAAGCTTGGGAAGGCTTCAGAGTGTCCAGCTTCTGATCTTTGAGCATTGGAAAAAGCAGAGGACATAATTTCTCTGCAGAATAACCTGATCAGTTTGTTCTAGATATGAGGAATGCTCTTCTTCCCCCAGTGTCCTCCCAGTTCTACACCATTGGTAATCATCATTTTTCAAGCCTATGTAAATAGTCCCCTGAGAGTCTAAATTTATCTGCACTCAAAGTTTTTTCGTTTGTTTCAGGAAACAATGAAGTGCAGATGCCATATCTGGATGTCCTTATGCAGATGGAAAGCAAAGGGTATATGTTCTGTCTTAAACAATGAATAGCATTTTGCATAATACCAAGCATTACCTTGATCTAATTCATAGTAATTAATAAATGCAAAGGATGAGATAAAAGGGGATCATTTGAATCACGCAAGCTTAGTCAATTCCATTGATGGAGAAACAGAATTAGAAGATGAAATCAGAAGACTGATTGCGGTAGAGATTTTGAATAAGGGCATCTTAGACTTTTTGCTTTTCCTCTAGCCTTTAATGGAAACCATCCAAAGCAAGAATATGTAATTGTTTTAAAATTTCCCCTTTTTCTTTTCTATGCCTGAACTTAGCTCAAACTCAATTAACCATTCAATGTCAAGACTCAGAAAGTACATGAGGGATACCACAGCTTTTGTCGGGAACTTGATTCATGAATGGCTATCTTTAGTTGTAAAAGGAATATTATATGATAGGAACCAACCAAATCAAATATTTTCCTTGCAGGTCAAGAACTTATATGTTGGAAAAATCCAAATTGGATTGTAATGTGTTTTCCTTTTGTACGTTCTTATGCAGAAATGTCCACGGGGGTGGCTTTTCTATGGAATCCAAAATATTCAACAATGACACCCAGCTAAGAGATGGGGCCTTTGCTACTCCTTACCAATCCCATTTTAACTCTGATCTGCAAGGTTTGGTTAATATCTCTATCACACTTTTTACCAATTCTAGGAATTTCTGACTTTTTCTGATTCTCAGCCTAACATTCCTTTCTTTCCATTTCTTCTATCTGTGAACATCCCTGTGACACATCTTCTGCTTAGTTCACACATGATTTTTACTTGCACAAGCAATCGAAAAATAGTAAAAAATACCTTTTGTTTGGTGTTAGATTATCAGTCTGGCAGCTCCAACTGTGACAACAATTTCCAGCAGTCCATGCCACTTACCAGCAAGCTAGCACTTCCACAATTTGAACAGGTATGTAAAATCTGGCTCCCATTAATGTTTAGACTATCAGATTAAGGAGAGTTCTGTTACCACAATCTTTACAATAGCCATAGCAATCCACCTAAGACCTTCTATGGTTTTTCGATTTCTCAGGACATTCAGAAGTTGAAAAACGGAAGGAAACGACCAATTGAGGTTAATGACCAAATGCCATTGAATGGAACTAGTGCTCTGAATGAGTGGAAGCAGAAGAACAAGAGAAAGAGATTACCCCCCTTTGAACAACAGCAATCTCATCAAATTACTGAAGCAGTAACTGAAATCAAACAGTGCAGGGTAAGGAACTTGCAGCTTTCTAAAGAAAAAGTAAATAACAGTTTGCTACATAAGAAACTGAGAAGCAAAATCAAGTTTCAAGTTTTTCCTCCTTTTTTTCCTTTGTAGATGCATATGCCTGCAGTTAGGAGAAGCCAAAAGCTAAGTGACAAGACCACAGCTCTTCAAAAGTTGGTTTCCCCCTATGGAAAGGTCCGTTTTAAGTACTTCAAAAAAACATATTTTATTTGGTTAATGTAATATTATTGGTCCAATGTCAATTCCCACATTAAAACTAATAAAATCTTTGTCTTTTGGCAAATAAATTCAATGCAGACTGACACTGCTTCAGTCCTTCAAGAGGCTTCTCTTTACATCAAACTTCTCCAAGAACAAATTCAGGTATATATTAAACTCCTCACCTAATCCAAATCAGTAAGCAGTCATTTAAAACTTTCTCTAATAACTTTCCCACTTTCCCCATAGAATTTGTTTCAGATGCTGAGCAGCTCATATAACAGTCTCAGGGCTATTCACCCACAGGTAAATACCATGGGTATTAACCAACACCCTAGACACAGCCATTTTCCAGTTTCCTTGTAATTTGTCTAAACTCTCTGCATTGCCAACAGGAAATTGGAACGAAGCAACAAGACCTAAGAAGCAGAGGGCTTTGCTTGGTTCCCATTTCATTCAGCCAGAAAGTGACAAAAGAAGACCAGAAGGCTGATAGTGATTCCATATCAAGAAAAACAATCATCCCTTGAAGATTCTAATGCTACCATAATGCAAAAGCTTTGTCATATTTTAATCCCCATTATACTATATAGGAAGAAAAAAATAGATACATTTGGTTTTCCTAGTTATGATATTGAATGAGGAATCAGAGCAGCATTTATTAATTATTGAGAACTAGATTCATTTTCTTATATATATTTTTTAATATTCTCCTATGATGTTCCATCCCTAGAGGAAGAGAAGAAATGAGGCTGATGGTACTTTTGACAAGTGAAATAACAAAAATTTTCTTAATCTTTACATGCTATTTGCTTTTTTTTTCCCTCTTACACAATAATTTTATAACTAAAAATCAGCTAAACAATACAACCATAGAAAGGAAAATGACTGTTTCAAAGGGCTTTTGGCAAAATAAACAAAAATTCAAGTAAAAGATTTGGTTGGTAAACTACATAATAGCTATTTAACATAAATAAATTTGATCATGGTGGCGTTGGTCGGTCATCGCCACCCTCCGTCATCTTATGATGGCGAGAAAATTGAGAGAGGTGGATGAGTGAGAGTAAGGAAAAGGAAAATGAAAGTAGGTTTGTTTTATATAATATTATTTCAATTCAACGGAATGATTATTTTTAAGAGCATCAATAATTGTTGTTTTGATTTTTTTTGAAATAATTATTGTTAGAAAATAGTGTATTTCATAATGTTCAAACATCTCACATTGTCAAAATACATGAAAGGTGAATGTTTTATATATGAAAACACACTATGAGCTTACTGTAAGTAAAGAAAACGGAGTGTGTTCACCTTATTTGGTGTAAGGTTCGTCTTACTCTATGTCTATAAATACAATCTCATCCTAATTTGGTTCAACGTGCCTATAAATATAGCCACATGCCTTCACTCTCAACACATACCAAAGCCTTTCACCTTCTAAGCTTTCAATCTGGTTCAACGTTCACCTTATTTGATGTAAGGTTCACCTCACTCTATGTCTATAAATACAACCTCACCCTAATCTGGTTAAACGTGCTTATAAATATAGCCTCACACCTTCACTCTCAACACACACCAAAGCCTTTCACCTTCTAAGCTTTCAATCTCATCCTAATCGTGCCTATAAATATAGCCTCACACTTCACTCTCAACACATACCAAAGCCTTTCACCTTCTAAGCTTTCAATCTCACTCTCAACACATACCAAAGCCTTTCACCTTCTAAGCTTTCAATCTGGTTTAACGTGTTTAAGCTTTCAATCTAGTTCAACGTTCACCTTATTTGGTGTAAGGTTCACCTCACTCTATGTCTATAAATACAACCTCACCCTAATTTGGTTAAATGTGCTTATAAATATAGCCTCACACCTTTACTCTCAACACACACCAAAGCCTTTCACCTTCTAAGCTTTCAATCTGGTTTAAGCTTTCAATCTGGCCTCACACCTTCACTCTCAACACACACCAAAGCCTTTCACATTCTAAGCTTTCAATCTGGTTTAACGTGTTTAAGCTTTCAATCTGGTTCAACGTTCACCTTATTTGGTGCAATGCTCACCTCATTCTATGCCTATAAATACAGCCTCACCCTAATCTGGTTCAACGTGCCTATAAATATAGCCTCACACCTTCACTCTCAACACACACTAAAGCCTTTCACCTTCTGAGGACCAAAGCCTTTCACCTTCTAAGCTTTCAATATGGTTCAACATGTTTAAGCTTTCAATCTGGTTCAACGTTCACCTTATTTGGTGCAACGCTCACCTCACTCTATGCCTATAAATACAGCCTCACACCTACACTCTCAACACACACCAAAGTCTTCCTTTCACCTTTTGAGCTTTCTTTGCTTATCTTCTTTGCCTTCTTTATTCAATTGTTGGGTTCTTTCTCTGTTTCTGTTGTTTCTGTCTTCACTTAATAGTTTGTACAAACTACTAACGAATGGTCTGTTGAATCCTATAGGATAACCGCTATAATCTTTTTGCACCAAGTTTCATCCTCCGAAGGGATGAAAATTATCTTTAAAGATAGTGATACCATACCTCAAACTTTCTCTTACTATTTTTACTTACTTTTATTTTATATTCCTTATTTTTCATAATCTTTTCTGACAATTATTTTTCGAAAATAATATCATAGAAGGGGAATGACTATGTTGACTAACAAAAAATCCTGCTTGAAATCATCACCAAGTTACCATATCTTAGACAATTGAAGTGCACATGTTCAAATTGCTGATTGATTCAAATTTTATACACTCGCATTCAAGTCACTCGATTCCCTAATCTTGGATTTCTTCATGCTTATGGTTAAAAATGTTTACTATGTTGGAAGAGGGTTAGCATCATCTCCTAGTGGTCCATTTCCATTGTCACCCTCATTACGAAATAACTGATGAATTCTGACGGAACATTATAACATTTTCGACCAATTTCATATCAAATTTCGACCAAAGGCCTCTGGTTCAACAGGTGGCTTGTCGGCTTATTATCCAAGTACTAGTCCTGATGGAATACTTTTCATTATTATTTATTTGCAACTCAATCACCAAAGAGCATGTGAAAATCCCACCCCAAGTTTAGGAATGTTTCCTTCGAAACTAACAAGGAGATTTTGATGGAACTAAAATTATTTTGGTTGCTAATGGAATTGCCATTATGATGATGAAGAAATGGAAATGCCTTTCGAATTCTGTCGAAAAAATATCTAAGTATCATATCACAATTCATATTAATTTATGTATAAAAATATATTAATATATAAATAATACAAAATTTGTTATTTAATATAATAATTGAGAACCGACTGTCATGATCACAATATAGATTAACTTATAAGATATTGCTTGCTTCGATCTCTTTAACAGTTTTTATCTTATGAAAAACATTTCACATGAAATGATGTGAATATTTAAATAATTCAATTGTGTCGACTTGAACTTCTGGACTTGCTCAGGGGACGCTGGTCCTTCGTTGGTTTAAAGCTCATACGACACCGCATTGTAACGTCAAACCTTCTTATCTGAAAACCGATACCGTCACCGTGCCTCAACATGGCACGCTTGCCCACGCAAAATCATACGTGGCAGCATGTGATTGGGACATCTATCTGGACCCGTCACAGTAACCATAGTATCATCCACTCCACACGCACCTAAGGAAAAACGTGAAAGCAAGGAAAAAAGGGGGAAAAAAGAGTAGTAAAATTAAAAGACTGGGTGGGCATTTTCATGCAGTCATCCCCAACCCAAAAAATAGAGAAAAAATTTATCTCCACATTTCTCCTTCCCTTTCTCTCTCTCTCTTTTTCTGAAGAAGCCCTAGATTTTCTCCGCCTTTTCTCGCTCTTTCCTTCGCTTTCTCGGGAAAAAAATGGTAAACACTCTTCTCCTGTTTACTCCAGTATATCTATCTCCTAACCTCTAAACATTCAAATTTCAATTTCTTTTTCATTTTTGTTTGATAAATTTTTTTTTAAAATTTTCGATCTGAAGAATTTTTTTCCCCATAAAATTAGGTGCAATACTACTCCAATTTAGGATTTAATTAGGTCCTGTTTAGTTCCCCCGATCTGATTTCAATGTTCGATTCGATCTTCACGTCTGACCGTTTCGTCGATTGTGATTGCGTGTCTGATTTTCAAGCGTTGATTTTGTTATCCTCCTGCGGTTTACTTCATTTTGCAGTTTTATTTATTTTATATAGAAATTAAAATATTTTTTATTTATAATTTTAATAATTTTTTTTTGAAAGGTGTAAATTTTATGGCACATGAAAGTTATTTTAATTTTTTTTAGGCCCATCGACCTTTGCATGGTAATGGCATCAAAACGTGGTCGATATTAGGCTGTTGATTCTAATAGGGACAAATTCGCTGAAAAAAAATAATTTCCTATTTGAATTTATTGACTATAGTTAGGATTAGGGGAAATTTTAATTATCCCCAAAAAATAGAGGATATGTTAATGATGAGCTTGAGAAAATGGAAGGAATGATGTACGCATTTTAGGCGAAGCAATTCAGAATAAAAGGAATAAATTCATGAACTTGGTAATGTTAATGGGTTGTGTCTGGTGGGAATTGGTCTTGAGGGATGGAAAGTTATTTTGAACATTTTAGCGTTATCTGGTTGTTAATGCTTTCATTCTTCAATTTGTTTAATTGTTTGATAAAACGGGATAAATATGAAAATGGGCCTTTCCAGTTGAAGATGTGGGTGTAAACTCTACAGTCTGAGAATCTTTTCCCTTTGGCGGGTGATGTATCCAGTTGTTAAGCTATTGGGAAAGTGCATTCGCTTACAAGTTACACCCTCTCTTAACAATGAATTAAATTGAAAGGCTTTATTTTCGTGCCAAAATATGTATTTATGTTTCATTAAATATGCTTTGTAAGGATTGTCATTGTTACAATAGCCCCAACTAGATTCTAAATAATTTTGGAGCTTGTATCCTTTTTGAGGATTCAGTGGTCTGCTGGCGATATGCAGTATGTTTTCTTAGTTCGCTCGGTTGATGCATGATACTTGTTGAGATGGTTGTGCATGATTTGCAGGCAAACGCAGCTTCAGGAATGGCTGTGGATGATGATTGCAAGCTGAAGTTTTTAGAGCTGAAGGCTAAAAGGACTTATCGCTTCATTGTTTTCAAGATTGAGGAAAAGCAGAAGCAAGTTGTTGTTGAAAAGCTTGGTGAACCTACTGATAGCTATGAGGCTTTCACTGCTAGCATTCCAGCTGATGAGTGTCGATATGCTGTCTATGACTTTGATTTTGTGACCGAAGAAAACTGTCAGAAGAGTAGAATTATTTTCATTGCCTGGTAACATGAAGTGTTAATGCATTTGTAATGTTTTTGGCCTTTTCTGTTCAATCTTGCCGTTCATGGATCTCTGCTGAATTGTTTCACTCATCTGTTAACATTTATACATGAAGGTCTCCTGATACAGCAAAGGTAAGAAGCAAGATGATCTATGCCAGCTCCAAGGACAGGTTCAAGAGGGAATTGGACGGTATCCAGGTAGAGTTGCAAGCTACCGATCCTACTGAGATGGGTCTTGATGTCATAAAGAGCCGCGCCACTTAGATGTATAACCTACTTTGCAATGGAAGTTCATACCATCTGGTTCACTTAAATGTAATGTCTATAGCAAATTTGGAACTTAGAACTTGCTTTTGATATTGGGTTGTTGTTCCTGAGTTCATACTCTTCAGTCCTTGTCTTGATTTGTTATATCTATGGATTCATATGGGGTCAGTATCCCCCTTTGGTGTGATATTTACTGACTAATATACGATGGCTTGTGGGGTACCAATCTCATTGCAGTTTGAATATTGCATGCCTTCTTTCTGTATGTTGGATTGTGTATGGTACTGTTTTCTCTCTCTTCATTAGAGAGATTTAACATCAGCAATTATATGGTACTTTTTATTGGTGTAATAATTCTCCTATGACTTGCATTTGAACAAAACAAACTGATTTGTGGCCTTGAAACAATGAAGGGAAAGGTTAGGCAATGTTTCTTATGAAAAGGGTATTCTTTGATTGTTCTTTGCCACCAAAGAAAGACTATTAGCCTAATGTCATATGTTGGTAATGATTAATGCCTAACTTTAGTTTCTTTTTTTTTTTCTTTTAAATTCATATGAAAGCCTATGGGCTTTTGGGTCATTCCAAGGAAATAAAGATCTTTCTTGGGTCCTAAATTTTATCCTTTCTTCAACCCTTCAAATGGAGAGTCCTGAAAAATCTAATGGGATGTGATTTCCATTGAGGAATTGCAATCATAACATATTTTTTAGAAGTGGAATTTTTCTTTCGTAGAAATGAAAATTTTAAAAATGGAAACTGTTTTGTGAGATATTAATTATAAAAAAAACAAAATTGTCATGCAAAAATCTTGTTTTGGTTCCTCAATAAAAATAAGTTATGAATTTAAACTTATTCACTAGTTAAAAAAAAATTACGTAAATTTTACCTATGTTTTTTACGGTTTTAATGTTTTCACTTTTCACAAAAAGATTATAGTATTAATTTTGTATAATAAATTATCAAAATATTCATAATTCAAAAATTTACTTATTTGTTTAAATTTAAAGCTATTTTGACAATTTTATTAAAAAAATTAACAATGTAATTTTTTTGAGAACAAAATTTATCCACAAAGAATTAATTAGAAAAACTGAAAAGAAAACACAAAATGTTATATAAAATAAATTGAAACTATGAAAGATGTAAGTAGAGTTTACAAAATAAAATGAATACGAGATTCGTACAGATATCAATAATTTTAAGGATAAAATACTTTCATTTGGATTAAAAACTCGAAAAATATATTTTTTTTAAAAAATAAAAAGCCATGCTCTTTTTCTTTTTTTTTTTATTACAATTATCTTTGATTTTACCATTGGCCCATGCTACTCTAACCCATAAACTCCCTTTGGTGAGCTACCCGTCACCTAAACATAAACCAAGAACAAAAAACGCACGACGTCGTTTTCAAAATTTTAAGTACTTGCTCTTTCTACCCTAAAACAACACAATTTCAAACATTAGCGAAATCCTAAAACTTGAACATCTCAATTTCCCAGGTAAATTAAAATCCTCCATATACAAATGTACACACACACACACACACAAACACACACATATATATATATACATGTGTATATAAAGCCTTTCCTTTTTCCTTTTTTTGTTATTTGGTAGATTGGATTCACTTTGTTCTTATGATCTGAATTTACATTAATTCCGTCATGTTCTTTTTTTAGAGTTTGGTGGTTTTATTCTATAATATGTTCAAACAAATGAGTTTCAATAGAAGCAGGAGCCCACCATGTGGCAAGAGGTTCTGAAGCATCGAACGTGTCTCTTACCATGACACACCGTACTCCAGGGACCGTTGAAATCATCGGTATGAAATTACCTTTTCGATTGTTTTAAGGTTATTTAGAATCTCTTGTTTTCACCATAATTTGTTAGGTTAGTCATAATTTTGAGGTGAGATGGAAAAAGAACCTATTGAGGATTTGAAATGCAAGGATAGGAGCAGGGTACTGTTGAAAGCATCGGCTTTGATATGAGATTAAATGGGTTTTTGCAGTCATTTCTAACTTGGTGGCTTAAGGATTTAGTTAAGGATTTCTTTGTTTTGATAGCGAAGGGTACCCACAATAAGAACCTTAAGTTGGACAATTGTCTAGATTTTTTATTTTTTTTTGAAAGGTGAAATTTTATTAAGTCAGCCTTTAATTTGCCATTTTGAGTCTTTAGTCTTAATTGCCTGAAAGACTCTTAATGGCACAATAGTTTCCTTGGCTCGATGAAACCTATACACTTGTACCAACACGAATCTGCCCAAAGAGAAATTGACAGCATAGCACCATGAACAAAAAGAGGTGCCAGAAAACAAAAATTGTCCTAATTCTATTTGATTGGAAACAGCAAAACCCCCTAACCCAACAAACAAGGAAAATCTCTCACAGTAAAGATCCCCTCTTGTGAAGTCAACCTTACTTGCACCACCAAAAGTTACAAGTAAAAGAATCCCTAAGAAGCATCAAAGAAAACCATTCAAAACAAAAACAGCACCAATCATCAGATGAAAAAGCCTTAAAACGGAGACTTAGTGGCAACGAATAACAAGAGGACCCTAAAGATGGTCCAACAGACAGCAAAGTCCAAACAATCGAACTCAAGAGACCTCGATCCAAAAGTAGTCAACAACAGCATTGAGATGAACATGATTGATAGAAAAACCAAGAAAACATCAAGCTCATCTCCTAAGTAAGGGACAAGACCTGGTAATTCGTAGAACAAAACAAAAACCCCAAGGGATTGCATCATCAACAAAACCCCTTCTTGGCAACATTAACCACAGTATCTTAGACGAGTTAACCTAGACAACATTGGATTCATCACAGGTTCAGCGTAAGAGTTTCCGGAACACATCCCCACTCCTCGCCATACCAACACACCATGAAAAACATGACTTAAGCAAAGAAGTCCTCTGTGAAGCTGAAGCAAGGGAGAGTCAAGGCACCATCCAAAAGAAGGACACAAGAGCCCATCAACTCCTAGAGAAAATCCTCGAAAAACTAGCAAAAGAACCACTCAAAGAAACAAGGGCCCTCACCCTAAAAAGGGAAAATCCCTCGTCCTCGAAAATCCCCCATCCCAAAGTATCCATGACAAAATCCCTCACTCAAACGAGAAGAATCCTCGTAAAAAACATCCAAGCAACCTAAAAAATTGCACCACAATTAAAAAAGAACGAAAGTGACGTTTGGTACTTTATAATACAATATGATTACAAGTAATATGATTGCAAATAATGTGATTGCAGGGAAAATAACATTACAGTATTTGGTATACAAGTAAAATAATGATTAAAATGCAGGAAATATAGCATTTTAGTGTTTGGTTTATAAATACTTAATTGAGAATGTAATGTTAATTTTTAAAATTACCTCTATTTATTAAAATGTAAGTTTAATATACTTGTATTTTTTATTGTTAATTTTTATATAATATCATCTCTTAAATATATTTTTAATATCATATATTTTATTTTCATTTCTTTAATATAATTTTTTATATTATATATTTTATTTTAATTTCTTTTACCTATATTATATAAATTTTAATTTCTCATATTTTATTTTATTTTAATTTATGATTCTTATATTATATTTTTTATTTTAATTATAACATTACAAAATGTTTTTAGTAAGGTAATAAAGTTGAAGGTTCAAAAATGTCTTTAAAAACATTGCAGAATGTAATATGATTGTATTAATTTGAGACTGCAATCATATTACATCTCTTGGTTGTAATGTGATTGCATTGCAATCTTACATTGCAATGGTCTATTGCAAAACAAACACTGTAATATAATTTAATTGGATATATTACAGGAAATATGCTCTCACTTCTCTTATACCAAACGCTACCTAATAGTAAGAGAACATCAATATAAATAATAATAATAATAATAATAATAATAATAATAACTAAATAAATAAATAAAAACTCAAGACACCTTCCTCTCCAAGTGGAAAAACCTCTTAGTGAGCCCCCATGCATGCCTTCTTTACCTCTCAATCAACCAAATAGATAATCTTAAAAACTTTTTACTTCCTCAACCTTCAAGAATTACCTTCAACCTCCTTCCTTTTCCCCTTTTGCTTGACACGACAAAAAGCTTAATCCCTTTCTTCCTTTATTTTTGTGCTCTTTGTTTATTTTATTTCTTCTTTTGCTTTATTTTTGTTTTTTCCTTTTTTAATTGATTTCCTTTTTTTTTCCATTTTTTCTACTGTCATTTCTCTTTCTCTCCTTTCTTTATTTTTCTTTATTTTTTATTTTTTTATTTTTTTAAAAAAATATATAAATATAAAAAAAGACCCCAACTTGAGTCAAAATGACATGTAGAGCATAAACTCGAAAATGACCCCTAAACAAAAACAAGGCCTATAAGAAAATGAGCAACAAGAACATGAGCAAGGTGGACATTGGGCTCAAAATTCCTGCCTACTTCTTGGCTTAGATCAAGTTCAATATTTTGTTTTGTAGGAAAATACCTTTACGTTGATCCATAAGACAAGATTGCTCACTAGGCTAAATTCCTACCTACTTCGATCTTGGCTTTGATCAGGTTCAATATTTTGTTTTCTAAGAAGATACCCTTACGTTGATCCATAAGGCAAGATTGCTCACCAAGCTAAATTTCTTGTTTGACTCTTCATTTTTTGGTACGAGCAAGATTGGGAATCCTTTGACTCAACGCGATGAGGTATTGAAAGTGACTGATATAACAGCAAAGAAAGCAGCAGAGAGGGGATTGTCAATGGAGCATATGATTCTGCAGGGAAGACATTGAAGGGGGATAAGTTAGCTAAAAAGGGATGGGATGGGCAAATTTATGGTGAAAATAGGATGGCATTTTTGCAAGATGTTATAGACAAATTTGGTGTTGAAGAGTCTGGGGGAGGAAATTAACAAAGTCTTGTCAAAAATGTGGCTTTAGGCTTACAAAGATTTAAGGAATAAGGGTTTTAAGGGTTATGTGTAGGACAAACAAAGAGTGTTTAATGCATCAATAATCAAAGTTGTGTGAGTCCTTTGCTAAGCATGTTGTCATTCAATTTGATCTTTGTCCTAATCATTTTTACATTTAATAGTTATAGAGAATCAAGATGTCACTCTTTAAAGGGTTTTTTTTTTTTAATTTTTTATAAAATTTTTTATCATAATTATGGTTTACTAAACAAACATTTTTAGATACAATTTTCACATATTTACCTTTCTTTCTTTCTTTCTTTTTTTGACTCTTTAAATTCTGTGATTAATCAACCAAGACAACATAATAATGATGAAGGGAATAGTAATTTAGGATGAGAAAACAATTTTATTATGAAAACTTAAACCTTATAATAGTGTTTAAATAATAAATTTCGTTGATGTATTATCAAAATGTTGAATTTAATATCTCTATTATAATTCATATAAATTGTGTTCATATGCTTTCAAAATTGATTAGTTTTACATCAATCATTAACACCATTAAGTCCTCTTCCATTAAATTTATTAAATGCATTAACCATTTGATATTATATAAGTGTGAACTAAAAGAATAACTATAAGAATAATTAGATTATATACATAAAGTTTTATGTATATAACAATAAAAGAAATTTAAAATTGAAAGGTGGCCTCTATCACCACCTTAACTCCATTGAAGAATGTTAACTTTAAAAAATGATTATATATAATATAATTGATTTATCCAAATGTTTGCATTGATCCTAATGTCATCCTTTGATGTGAAATCCTACATTAAAAATTCAAAAGGAAAAGTCTCGAAAATACTAATCAAAGTATCAACCACTGCTTAAAAAGATAAAATGCTTTTGACTTTAGTGTTTGTGGACAAACTATACACGGCAAAGTTGATTGCTAGCAAAACGTTGACAAGAAAAGCTCTTTAGCTTTTAATTAAAAAATTCTTACTTTGTAATTATATATTTTAATGTAAAAAAATTTACTTAAATTTTAAATTTGTATCCTTTTTTTCTTTTAATACATATAAAAGGTAAAATAAAATTAATTTTAAACTTCAATTTTCCTTAAAAAAGTAACAACACGAAATAAAACTTAAATGATTTTTATTTAAATAAATATCATCTCATTTTTATGCTTGAGAATTTTATTTTTTTTAAAAAAATTCCTTTTGTAACATCTTGTCCCTTGAGATGTTAATTAAACTAAAACGATGTTAGAAATTTGAGAAAAATTATGGTCATTAATGACGTAGGAAAGCATAAGAGATTGAAAGAGAAGGTGTGAAATAAAAATAATATTTTAATAATAAAATAATATTAAAATAATAATTAAGGTCGAAAAATAAATAAAATATTAAAAATTGATTTTGAAGAGATAAGTGTTGCCAAAGTGGAAGAGGGAGATATTTATAAATTTGGGGTGTGGTTAAAAAAAAGTTAAGGGACTAAATCATAAAAAATAAAAAGTTAGAGGATTAATGAGCAATTAATCCAGCATATTTAGTTATTTATTTATTTGTATTTCTTCTACTCTAATGCCATATATTGTTTGCCAAGCATATATGCAAATGTGGACAAGAATTACAAAAGCGTATGCATGGATGTATACATATATATATAATTTAGTATTTGTAAGTAAGATTGGAATACTAAAATTTTAGAAGAATTTGAAATTCAAGCGGTGAATAAGTAACACCTAAAAAAATTTACATCTATGTGAAAAATGAAATATAATACATGTGAAGAAAATTTAATACATATATATATTATACATATATATATGTTATATATATTATATAATAACTAGAGTAGTAAGTAAATGAAATACAAGAACCCAAGGAAAACACGCCACATATGGCCGGCCACCGCATGGCCTTATAATGCATGCCTGGTCAACAACGCGTGGGCCTCATGTGAAAAAAAAATTAATTAATTAGATTTCAAAATCAGATTGGAAAACCCTTTTGATTGGAGCCTCCGGTCATCACACACAACTTTCAGAATCTCCCCTTCTCTCCCTTTGAAACCCGATCACTCCCAAACAAATTTTCAAGAATTTGGAGCTCCCAATCCCACCTTGTAGTTGGAGAAAGTGCTGAAAAAGGAAATTGACAGAGAAGGGAAAAGAGGTAAGCGTCTCCCTCATTTTAAAGTTCAAGCTTATGTAACTTTGATTTTCTTAACCCGAGCTTATCGAACCGTCTTTGAAGGATTATAGGCTCCACAATTGAATCTTGGGATTGGGAAATTTGCTAAAGAAGTGAGAAACTATTAGTTTTAGACATTATTTTTAAAATTAATTGGTTAAAAGTTTCATATTGTTTGTGATAGATATTGGTGCCTCGGGTTGAAAGCTTGCTGGAGACTGTGGTTAAGGTGGGGTTAAGCCATAAAGGTAAGAGACTTGGGTTTTAATTATTAACTATTTACTATATTTTGTTGCTAGATGGAAGAGGATTTTTAGATAAGCTTGAGATTTTTTTCTTGAAAAATAGATGAGCTCGAGATTAACTGATTGTATTATAGTAATTATTGCAAGGAAGTGGGGTTAAATACTTATTTCCCTTCTTGTCCACTCGTTGAGTATGAAAGGCTCACCCTAACTAGTTGATAATGGCATATAAGAGAATTAATTTGGAGCAGCTATGGTGAGGGCACTTCAGCTTGCTGCATAGGTAATTGTCGTCTTGTAACACTTTCCTTGCGTCACTCCGTTGTCTAGTTGTCAAGTTGTCTACTGTTTTTAAATAAAGTGATGTATTTATAAAACACTTTTAGGCTGAGGCCTTTGGATACCGTTTGATTAATTTTAAATGGTGTAATGTTTGAAGGTTTACATTTTAAGACGTGTTGTACATATATTTTAAATCTCTCGTTGAGAATTTTTATGAGTATTTAAGAATTAAATTTGCAATCTTGGTTGTATAGCATTGCTAGTATATGATAAAGGAAAGAATTTATTTGGTGAGATTAATATATTTAAAAGGCTTGTCAGATTGTGTAGGCTTGTCTATATGACTTATTTGCCGATAACGATCGTAAGAGTTGGTTGTTACAATCTTGGTATCAGAGCCTTAAGTTTAAGTCAAGTCTTAGGAATTCTTAAGTCTATCAGCGGAGTGTTGGGGCTCGTGTAGAGTCTTGGCCATGGTTTGTGACTACAGCACGGATTATGAATAAGAGGTTGCATGAACTCCCAAGTCTTAGTGAGCCACCCATCATCAATAAAGAAATGTGAAATTGTTGGTAACGCTCTTGTCTCGAGAAAGATGACATGAGCCACCATTAGAAATATTTTAAAGCCGAACGCTTCTAACAAAAGGTTAATGGAACGACTTACGATTGCGACTAAGGGTCATGGCTAATGAAGCGATCCAGTGAAGTAATAATTATAGCCCATGGTAGTAAATTTGAAAGTTAGGTTGATTGGTGAGGACCAATAATGAGTTTGCTAATTAAGTTAAGGTTGAGTTCTTGGATAAAATTTTATTCCTATTCTTGCGACTGCAATGGCAGGCGTTGCAATGGTTAACGTGATTCACTTAAGGATTATGCATTTGAGTATTGAGGGAGGTATAACAAAATATTCTTGTGGATGAGAATTGTTGAGGGATATATGCATGATGAGCATGGAAGGGTTACAACAACAGGCCACCAATCAAGTGGCTGTAAGGAAATGGTAAGCTCTAAACGGCTATGTATTATGAAATATCTAATGCCTACATGAGGCAAGAGCATGGGTGGTGTTATGCATGTTGTGATATCACATGCACTTTATGGACAGACATATAATGGAGGGGTTTACCTTGATTAATAACTTAATGTCTAAAGGCTAGGTTAGAGATCAAGCATTCCTTGACATAAATGTTAGATATTATTATTTGGAGGGCCAAACATGTGCTTGAATATTGATGAGATCAGTTAGTTGATTAACGAAGAAATGTGAAGATTGTTGCCAGGTCACGCATTAAATTATAGAATGTTGAGAGCCACAGTAGAATGTTTATAACTCTTGTAAATTGTTTTGAGAACTCCTTGCATTTGGGAAAGTACATGCTGTTTTGTGTACAAATCGAATTGATGGAGCAATAATAAATTGCATAATTCTGATTTAAATATAGGTGACTTTGGATATTGCAAAAGAATTATGGCATGTTTTTTGAAGTTAATGAGATGGCATATTTGGTCAGCTTGATTTAAGTGAAATATGCTTGATTGAAAGCCTTACCACGTACCTTAAATCCATTATTTAAAATTGATAGTTCTTTAATTAAAACATATGTTGATATTTTTGGGTGAAACTCTCCAAGACCTTGTTGATATTAGGATTATGAGGTCGATGTGGGTGGTGCCCCGAATTTGCTGTTGATGATTGTGAAGAGTTCCACTCTTTATAGTTAGGTCTCTTGAGTCGTAATACACCCTAGACATTTTTGACATTATCATGAAACGTGATGATTATTAACTTAAGCGATGGAATTCATGATTGGACTTGATTTAAATACTAATAATAAGTATTTGTATATGTCATGTCTGATACATTGAGTTTTAGTTGGTTTTGGAAGTTGCCATGATCTTAAACTTGTACTTAATTGTCCTTGGCACCCCTATGTCTTTTAATCAAATTTTGGATGATGTGAAATATGTACGAATTTTTAGCAGCATTGAACTCATTAATATCATGGAATGCTTTGAAATACATGATTTGGTTTACTTACTAATACCATAGCATGCTTTGAATTTATTACAATTTGAAAATTGATCATGGCTGGATTTTTGTGTACACTGATATTGGTACTTATATGGCATGATACTAATTTCAAATGGCATTACAATATCATACTTGCATGATTAAGTTGCTTCCTGATTTTGAAAGCCAATTTATGGTTATATTACTCTAAGTATGAAGTTTGAAATTCAATAATTGTATTGATGTTAAGGAATGCTCTAGTGGAGTCTTATTCATGAGCCTATAATTGCAAGCACAATTCAATGATTAAAAAAAGATAGTATTTCATTAGTACACTTGGTAGATTTAGGAAATTATAAAACTGATGAAAGAGATAATTGGTGGAAACTTATTGGAATCTAAGTGTACAATGTTAGGACACGCATCGAGTCAAATGTTTGGAATCGAAATTCAATTATGGGAAGTGGTGGTAATGGAAATAACTTATACCAAAGGCGTTGGAAAAGCCTTGGTGAAGGCTAGGAGAGAATTGATGTGAGATTTGGATATAAGTGAATAAATGTGGATAAATTACTACATTTTGAATATATAGGTCAAGGCCTAACAATGTTAAGAGAATATGGCTAGTCATAAGATAACGCCAAGTATGTGGGGCATGAAAAACTTATGTGTATGATATGAGGTGGTAGTTTTCAGTTAAAATTCTACTATGCAAGTATACGTATCGAATAGATAGTATATTAGTAAGTAGAGTATCGATCCCACAGGGAATTGATCTAAAATTTTACTAAGTACTAAAATTAGAACAATTTAGTTTTATTCAAATAATTAAAATTTGAATTCTAATTGAATTGAAAATTACGCAACTAAAACTAATTTAATTACAAAATTAAAGCAACAAGATAATTGAGCAAACAGCAAATCAACCAAGCCTAGGATTACAATATCCCTCACACTTCATCTAAATCTTACCTCTCTTTCTTAACTTATTTCAATGGGTTGAATTGCTAACCTAGAGTCCTAAATTATTTATAAGGGTCTTCCCACTTATCTTATAAAAATATCTATGTTAACTAAAACACTATATCCCTATGTGAATTGAAATTTAAAATAGACTCATTCAGTTCAGGCTCTAATCTGGCTACATATGACTTATAGGTATATCCCTAT